AGTCGTCAGTTGGTCTGAAATTAAAAGATACAAATAAAAAATAACCATAAGTTAAACTAGATTTGTTCAGGAACCAAAAGAAACTTTCAGATATAATAAAATACATGAGACAATAAACTACAGCTCGGGGACAAATGGCAGGTTAACAAACGATACGAGCGACATTTCGCAACAAAACTCCTTTATTACCAATTATGATTAAAGTTCAGTCATTCTTTGTAAGACTGGTACTGTATTATCTTAGGTGTTGGCATGAAGAGACAAAGTTACTGATTTATGCTGAATACTTTTCAGCGTCAGCAACACTTTCAACAACCAACTATGCAAAAATATATTTCAGTGCAGATATGGAAAAAAGCCAGAATCACACATCCGATTTACTACTTGCCGCCGCAAACTGACAAAGAAGCTCGAACTCAACTTACATTTTTCACTTTGGTAGGCTTCTGAAACCGATGAACTGCACTTGGCAAAAATCGATATTAGAGAGATATATTAGTTCAGCTAAAGTCGAGCACGCACGATCGGTGGACTCCTCTGACAGCCGACACCATATATCCCATTAGACATACTGACAAATTCCACGCAAGGCAGGAAACGCCGAAAAAGTTTATTCTGCGCGTTCCGGTGCAATTAGTCACGCGACTTCAGGGAAAGGCCCCAAAAACGGCGTGACGGCGTCCCCTAGTGGCCATCGGGCGCATTCTCAGGCGGTCACCGGGACAGCGAATGGCGCACGTTTCCGCACACGTGGGAGAGGATAGAAATGCAGCATACCGTCAACAGAAAGCATCTTGAAATCAGCGTTTGTGTTTATGCTCCGTGCCTGACAGTGGTCATTCAATAAAATTACGCAGCGAAGATTTGAGGACCGTGGTAGCATTTTATTTTGCGGAAATGCACTGAAAGAGGATAAGTTAAGCCTTGCTGAACGCACAAATGCCACTGTGGTGGTCTGCTTGAATATGTTCCTTCGCTTAATAGGCTACGTTTCACGCAGTGCTGCCCACTGAGCCACTCATTGTCAAAGTGTGTGAATTTCACAGATTAATATTTTGCCACCTGGAACTTACATACATTGTATATTCTTAAGAGGGGAACTGATTTCCAGGGGCTTGTAGATTTGATATGAAAGCATCTACGTGCCCTATTGCAATTCAGTCATTCTAATAATAGAGAACCGGTTACTTCCTTTTGTGACATTAGGTTCTTCACTTGCTTTCATGTGCATACATGTATGCGAGTGATTTTTATCTCCGGACGTCAATGATAAAAGAAAAACACTGTCCTGATGAGCATATTGTAGAAAGACGTCAGACACACCAGTCACAAGAATGTACCAATGTCTGCAAATGAATAACCAAGACGGTCTCCTCGGATCATTCTCTAAATTTGTGCTGACTGCTAATTTTTGCACGATGTAGATCTCCAGTCTGCACTATTGTCATTGCATTTTGTATCATTTCTCTAGCATTATAATTCCCCCCGTACTTCGAAAAGGATGCTTGGAATTCTTAACGAAATTGATTTTAATGGGATGTAGTATAAATTATATTTCCATAGAAAATGCACATTTGACGATGTATCTTTAAACATAAACATTAAAAAGGACTTATAATACAAATGTAAATATATACACCGTGAGATAATGAACATTTATCATTAAAACAATTTAATCCAGATCTTCTCACAAGCAGATTCTAAGATTTGACGATCTTTCTTATCTTTCTTAATCTAATTACAGTACTGCTGGTGATGTAGGCAGGATTACTAATTGACCGTACCTAGTGAGTAACTGACAACACTGTTCAACCAATCAGCCCCCTGGATCACAGTTGGTAGCCGCCCATTTCTCTGCGTCCCACCCCCTACTGTTCATTGGCTGGCGACAGCCTTGTCAGACGGACTCGAATGCCTCGTTTTCAGCTGAATGAAGAGACCCCCTCCCCCGACTCCCTGCCCCAGGCACCTGGGTATGTATCCACTGGGTCATCAAGGAGGAGTTGAATCGGGACAGATATGCAGTGATTTGCCCCAGCTGGCAAATGTGAATGAGGGCACTGTAGAGAAAGCCTCGTCCCGGCCAATGAGGGGGGCTGCGCACTTAAGGCTGGGGCATCGCGTGATGTCATAGGCTGGGGATCGATGCTGATCAACTATTTAGTGGATTAGCTAATTAATCCAAAGGTATTTCGTGTGTACCTTCACTAAGAATACTGTAACAGAGCTTCTACTGGGACCTGATTTTCAGTCACAATTATTTCAGCCTGTCGCTGACGTTTTGTCCACTCACCTGGGACTGGCATCAACAACATCCCAGCGTGCCCCAAACTCTGTGCAGGACTTGCACCCCTTACTGCTTCATTATCCTACCAAATAATATAATAATAATAATATGTGCCAGCACCCCTGAACGCACCGTCTTAAAACGGTGATCTAATACCCTGACAATAAAATAATAACTATAACTATACCAGCCGTGGACACGTTGTGGACCAGTTGGAGGGATTATAATGGACTGAACCTGGATGGCTTTGCGCTGTCATCTCCGTTTATAGGGCTCCGCCATTCTAACGGGGCTTTATATGAGACCCAGTCCTGGCACGGGCGCATGACACAGGCTGCAGGGAAATGCGACCCCCGCCCGCCCGCACCACCAGCTCGCCTGGTTTTCATCAGGACACGGACCACCTCTCCTTGACACCGCTCCAACCGGCCAGTGTGGTCTGTAGTTGGCTACTACCACCATCTACAGGGCGAAGGAATTTGTTGCAGTTATTTATATTACAGCTTAGTAGACCGTTTTATCCAAAGCGTATGTAAGTAATAGTTTCACGCGCGTGCAAAACTATTCTGGTGGTTATATTTATATAGGCAATCTGAAACATGACAGAAGCGTTTCTAAATGCTGCAAATACCTTGAACAAGATGCAGATACACTTTGGGATCATCGTGCCGCTCGGTAACACCTTCGCAATCACGCAATCATTACCACAGTGACCAAAGCAGCTTGATTCTACACCTCCGTGACTCATTCACGTCTTATGCTACCTTAATAGACACCAGATCGGCCGCTCCATTATGCAGCACCACGAAATAAAACACGCAGTAATCTGTGCCATTCGACCATTTCTTACCAGTCTTTCCAATTTGAATTAGTTTGACTTTCAAAATAGTTTTGCTTGCCAAGAAATTCTATATGCCAAGTTCAAAATTGATAAATGAAGTGTTAACTCTTTTTTTATATTGAGTTTTGATGCAAATCACAGTTGCTTTTAACAAAAACTAATATTAACCAGTCACATTTTAGTAAGGAGAGACAGGTACTGTACACTCAGTTAAATCATGTCACATATATAGTTATGTCTGAATTAAATGGATCAGATTCCAGGAGCCCGCAGTCCATGTTCCCCAAGCACAAGGGCAGGACTGACAAATTAGGCCAGTGCTTCCCAACCCGGTCGTCGGGGACCCCAGACAGTCCACATTTTTGCTCCTCCCCCAGCTCTCAGCCAATCAAGAACACTAAACACCTGCTACAGGTGTGCTGGGAGCTGGAAGGTGAAAAAACATGGACTGGAGATCCCCGGGGACCGGATTCGGAAACACTGAGCTAGACAGGCTGTAGCGGCTACCTTCCACCTACCATCTCTGTTTTGCCACATGTTCGTCGGGTCCTGGCTCAGTGCACTGCAATCAGAAAACACTGCAGTGTGACTGGATGGCCAGTGACATCATGGGTTCTCCTGTTCTTCACTCTAAAGGTCTTATTTGAGATGACAGGGAGATGTTTCTATGTGCCATGTGTAAACCGGATTCTCTTTGTGGGAGCAAACAGTGGTGACGACTTTGAGGTGCTCAGATCTATTGCATTCTGGGAGGTTCTGTCACAAAGATCCAGTGAGTGTAGACCGAGTGCTTTAAATATGTACACACACACACACACACACACACACACACACACACACGTGCGCTACCTTAAATATACCTGGCATCTTTAATTCCAAGAACACACAAGCTGCTTAAGTACCGCATGTGCCAGTAATCTTCTGTGGGTCATGTCTCTCTCGTAATCCATTTCATTTCATTTTCCTACTTTGGAACATTTGCACTCAAATCTGTTTTGGAAAAAGCATATCAAAGCCACAGACCTGACATACTGTCAGCATGGCACACCAGAGCCAACACACTAAAGCGCACATCTACACGCAGTCAAAATATCCTCGCAACAGAGATACTGAGTCACACAAACCAATGAAAGGCAAAACATTTAGCCTTTTATTCAACCAAAAGTACCCATAACTGTGTATGTAGCATGTAGCTGGCAGGAGATTGAATGTATCTCAGCGAAAGCTCAATGCCTAAGAGGCAGATCCATCAGGTGCAGGGGACTCCAAAAATCAGGTCCAGAGAATCACAGCTTGCCAGCAGTCAGCCATCTTTCGCAGCGTCCAAATGACTGAAAGCGAAGCTGTTTAAAGGCAGTAAGGTGAACAGCCTAAGCCCCTCTTTACATGACTGATCTGTACTGGAACCCAGAACAAAGTTCCTGCTTTATTTTTAGATTGCAATAAACCTCTGTGGAACTTCTCCAGCAGCGTCTGTATTAAAAAGATGGTTGAATTTAAAGATATTTCATATTTTTAAAGTAAAGCCAAGGTCCCTCCATAATCAGATAGAGGAAAGATGCCTGAATCAGTCTCCCCTATGAACAATGCGCATTTATTGAAGTTTAATAAAATAACTTGAACAAAAAAAGGTCTTGAAATTTAGAAATTACACATGTAGTTGTACTTCTTTGCTGTGAAGGACAGAGATGTTCGTGGCTGGAAAAGGAGAGGCTCTGGTGAGGCCTGTGACCTTTCAGGGTGCACATTCAGCAACCCAGGTCTGCTTACAGCCCATAATGCAGGACACATGTTACTTCTCTCCCTACTTTAACTCTTAAAAAAATATCCTCCATTAAATCCAGAAGAATGAAGGAATCTGCAGGAAGCTCACAGCGGGAAAGAAGTTTTTAATAACGAGAACTGGCAAAACATCTGAGACAAGGGCGATGTTCAAAAATAAACACGTCACACGTCCTCAGCCAAATCCCCATAGCAACGTAAACACAACGTGCACTACCAGCATCGCCGCTCATGTTACGGACTTGTGATCGGAATACGATGTACTTAAGGTGATGAGCAACAGCGAGAGCACAACAAGTTACGGTCTTGGTGAGAACACCACAGTAAAGAAGACGGCGAGGGAGAAGACGGCGAGGGAGAAGACGGCGAGGGAGAAGACGGCGAGGGAGAAGACGGCGAGGGAGAAGACGGCTTGTTCTCAGTAGAGCTTCAGTGAGGCCTCGAACAGCTGGGCCAGGTCGTCTTCTGTGTGAGTCCGGGGAGCAAGTTTGGTGACCCTCTCCTGCAATGATGCGACCCTCTCAGACACAGATGTGTGTGACCTCAGTCAGACCTTAGAAACATTTCCCTTACTGCATGCCACTGCAGTGGACTCAGACAGCCCCCCCCACCTGTGGTATGGTGCCCTTCACAAGCGCAGGGATATCAGCTTGGGTGTAGCCAATGGCCCCCAGGCCGTCCTCCACCTGCAGGTCCTGCAGGATGTCCCTCAGGGTATCTGCCAGCACCGATCCCGCATCCTTCCGCTTGACACGCCGCACGTCAGCCCCTACGAAGATGCCAGGTCACACTCTGCTTTTTCCCCAAAGGAGTTCTGCTTCCGGCTCACCGTTTTTCAAATCTCACCTAATATCTGTGCCGCCTCAAGGTGGCGCTCTGGACACATGGGTCCAGTGAAGGCAAAGACCGCAGGGGAAGTCAACACAACCGAAAGGCCGTGGGGCTGAGGGAGTAGCATGAGACAAGACAACGGGACAAATTAACCTATGTGAGACTGCCCCCTGGTGGTAATGTAAAGACACAGTTGGGCAATATACTTTGGAAAAAGGAGTGATGGGTGAATACAGCGCCCTAAATGTATTCGATAATGTATTCTGTCACAGTACATTAAAAGTAACTCAGGGCTGCCAATTCACGCATCTGGCGTAACTCTCGCGGTCACGCAAGAAATCTTACAGCAAATTTATATTACGTTATAAACCTAAAATTAGCTACATCAGAAGCATTGGGGTAGTTTCCAAACCCCACAGACGATTTACAAGGTAATTAAACTGTTACATACATGAAAAATGAGCGTGCAGACTTATCGCAAATTGAAAATCTCACGCCAGCCAGCTGAACAAAGTCAGCAACACTAGTAATGTATTCAGCATACTTTAAGAATGGATTTAGATAAACATTTTTAAAATTCTGCATTTGTTTGACCAAAGGATGTCGTGAGAGCTCAGGTAGGCTAAGCTGTTTTGTGTGACAACAGAGGGCATTCTGTCCTGTTTACCCACAACATTCCAGAAAAAGCAGGTCCGGCGTCATTTTGTCTTTATTAATATTCGTGGTTCAAGTTGCAGTTGGCTTGAATTAAAGTACAGGACGAGTTCAGGTCGCTCGTGAACGGACCGCACGCATCGCTAGCTAGCTTCAGTTTCAACTTGAAAGTGCTGCTTTCATTGAGAGGCGTTATTAAATTAGAACTGGAATCTTACAGTGCAGATGGAGTTTTTACAATCGGCAGGCACAACTGGCATTTCATAGTAACTACTTGAAAAAGTGATGTGTGTTTCAATTGTATTGTCTTTAGTATGTGTCACTTATTTTTGGTGATATACGGTAATTGTCACAGGAGTAGCTGGTCGAAAATCACAATATAGTCACTTAACTGGTGTAGCGGTTAGTGGGGGTGGGTAAGGAGAATGTTTTTTTTGTTGTCTGCAGTCGCAGTTGCTGGTGCTACAATTATTACAGCAAACGTATTTTATAAGATTTTTTTAAGCTGGACATGGAAGATTTTTTTTTCTTCTTTCTCTTTCCTTTTTTTTCTCCTTTTCCCCTCTTTTTTCCCTTTTTTTAATAGAATAAAGAACGAAATGTAAATGGCATTATCGGGTTCCGTCTTCTTTCATTTTAACGGTCACATCGTACGGCGCGTCGCCTTCTTGCTCAGTTCTCAGCGACATTCGGTTTATTTAAGTTGTCGCTAAACACCGGTGTTTGTATTTCCACGACAGGAAAGTGACACAGTCAGTCATGGCTGTTGTGCTGATCTAGGACTCATTACTGCCCTCAGCTGGGCAAAGGGAAAAGTGTGCACTTGATGATTAAAAAAAATAAAAAATAAAAAATGTTTGCTTTAACACTTTTAAATAGTGCCTTTTGGACTTTATCTTTGTATTCTGAATATGTTCCGCCATTACTGGTATGCTGTCACATCCCAAGAATAGCAGAAAGAGAAAAACAAATAGCAGAAAAAGAGAAAATCAGGAAGTCATACCACTATAGGGTGATCGACATCATAATCCTTTGCTCTGAAGATTTTCACATTGCCTGCGATGGGGTAGGACATTCCATGGCTAGATGACAGAGAACATGGTGTTACTGATTAGCTTATTATGATGGGGAGTTTAAGTTGAGGACAGAGTGTACTGATTTACCACAAATGAACGCCGGCGTTTCCAAATCCAATCCCGGCAAACACACTGGCGAGGTGCATGCTGGACCTCGCCTCCACGTCCCCAGGGTCTCTCACGGCTCTAGGGAAGCGTGCAAGACATCAGAGGGGCCAGAGGTCAGGAACTGTGACACGTCAGTCAGCTGACCTTACTCCACCCAATCAGCAGTCAGATAAACGGCTGGCATATTAAGCATTAACAGGGCTGCAGGACAGACGCAGGACCTACCGCTTCATGTACTTAGCTACTACGTGCAGGGCGTGACGGGACCACACATCACTGATTGGGTTGCTGCCCTGGTAGGCGGGCCGGTTGATGGGGTTGGTAGGACAGGGCTGACGCTGGCTGTAGGGAAGCGCGGTGTAGGACTCCAGGGCATGGCTGAGGAAGAGGGTACAACGTCAGCTGGGTCCCCCCATTCAGACAGGCTACTACTTATAGAGAAAACTAAGTGCTCCCTCTCTGCAGAAAGACATACTGTGTTTCTGTAGTTAAAATTTTCAACTCAAGTTTGTGCATTAGCTACGTATGTAGATTGGGGTCAGCAACCCTGATCTCTGAGTTCCAGTATCCGGAAGGTTTTCTATTCTACCAGGTCGACGATGAACCACACCTAATTTCAGGCACACAGTAACTCGTCAGGTAGGATAGAAAACCCGCTGATATGAGGACTCCGGGATCAGGGTTGCCTACCCATGATCAGCGATTCTCAGCCCATGGGTCGCGACCCAAATTTGGGTGGTGGCAAGTTCTGAAAGGGTCGTGAGGGAGAATTGGAAATGTAAGTATTTTAAAACGATCAGATTTCCCAGCCCCAATCCAAGAATTAACCTATATAAACGGGTCTCAAGTCTGCAAATGTTTAGTGCAAAACTAGTAAACACTCAACCAATCCAAGAAGGCAAATCACAGATGCTTAATTTAAAATTCACTGGCACATCCAATCAGATTTGTGCGTTAATTGGCGTAAATTGCAGAGTCCGCTGCACGCTTGATCATAGCGTTAATTCAGACCTATACCTGATATAGGGTCGCGACTGAGCTGGGATGGTAAAAAAGGTTGAGAACTACTGATGTAGATGATACCTGCAAGCTGCATACATCTACATGAAATTCATAAAGCTGAAGGGTGAAGGAGAGAAAAGAGATACTGATGTGGGAAGCTACCACAAGTTAGCTACAGGAAGGCTAAGGTAACACTTACCACAGCACGTCAATACTGATGTGGGAAGCTACCACAAGTTAGCTACAGGGAGGCT